ACCATGGGACCAGCTCATCATCTGGAGTCTACCCCTGTTAGCTTATGTAAGCCTATGTTTTAGTATGCAAGTAATGAAGAAAAGGCCAAAAAAAGAATGTTTTCCAATTTTTCATCGAAATGAGGTGGATTTTGCCAAACGTGTATCTGACTATATGAAGACTCGATCATGAGAGATAATCCGAGAGAAGAACACTCAGAAAAATATTCAGACTGACGTCTCATAAACTAAATGTTTTGGAGCTCCTAATACTTTTACAACAGATTTTGAACCTTTATATTTTGGCGGCAAAATTTTGCGTACTTTTAAAAAATTTAATTGAGAAGAATTTTTTTCTCTGGTATAAAATTAACGTCCGCTAAATTAAAACAAAATTTATAAGTAATGCACCTGAGAGGACAGTTAACGAATCCATCACATGCTTTACAACACTAATTTTGAATAAACAAAATTGTGGATGAATTTTTATTGTAAAATTAACAAATTCCGACGTTATCAAATTATCTAAAGTTTTCAAATGAATTTGGGAAAAACCCTAAGTAGGGCTCTCTTTTCTCGAGTTGTTAATCAGTAACCTAATCTCACACAGATTCTAATTGGTCTGATGTTGTCAGATAGGTCTGTTTACGACTGTTAATTTGTCCAACTGCAACAGTGTCTGGTTGTTCAAATAGCTGTAATATTTGACCTCATTTATTCGACTTGCTTATACCTTTATGCGCAAGAGTAGTAGCAGTGTAAAGAAAAAAAAGTCAGTTAGCGAACAATGAGTTCTAAGCTGGTTAGACCTAAAATCTTCATGGACATAGTGATTGCTGCAGCTAAAAAGGCACCCGTAAAAGGTCACGTAGTGATGGATTTATACGCCGACAAGGTGCCCAAAACTCTTTTATTTGTTTGCTTATGTTTTTCGGGCTTAGTCGCCACTGCGACTTTACTGATTTTTCTTGTGCGGCAAGCGGTTTCTTTGCAAGCGAGAAAGTTTTTGAATGATTCTTGTAATTTGTAATTTTCTAACGCTTTTTGTACTTTTTGCTTAAAAGCTTTATTTGGCCTTAATTGTTTCGACTTATGATTCTTTCCGTCAAAATGTATTAATTTTGGCTTAGTTACCTAATTGTGGTCGTTTGAAAACGGAAAATTTAAAAGTGTTTTGTATTTTCGGAGTGTGTGTGTGGGGGTGGAGGGTAAGGGGGCAGGGATTGTATAATTTTAGAATTTCAGAAGTTTTCCATGAGAACATTACGGGAATTTACCCATGTTCTCTTGGCTTAGTTGCCGTTCAATAAATTATGAAATTTTATAATGCTGGCTATTGATTTTCCGGGAGTCTTCTCAAACTGAACAGCATTCCATTTAGAAATGTTTACACCGAAGACTTTAGTCAAGGTGTTATGGTATCGTGTAACGGGTTTTTTTTTAATGTTGTCTGTTGTCAAGTGTCGACAAATAACGTCCACAGTTATCAATTATCATGTGGGCTGGACTATATCGCGCTATGTGACGTGATTGCGTATGTTTGTTTCTTTATTTGTTCATCTTTATTTATTTAATTATCTGTTCTTCTATTTATTTAATTATGTTTAGTTTGCTTATATTTATTTATAATTTTTGTATGTACATATTTATTTTTGTTTATTTTTATCACGTGTTTTGTTTATTTATTTAATTATTCTTTCTTTCATTTAGTTTTGCTTTTATTATTTCTGCGTGTGTATTTATTTAATTTATTTATTTTCATTTATTTATATTATGGGTCTGTTTGTTTGGTTATTTGTTCATATATTTTTTTTCATGTCTATTTAATTATTTGTACATTTCACTTTTGCTTTTATTTATTTATTTATTTATTTATTTATGTATTTATTTATGTATTTATTTATTTATTTATGTATTGATTTATTTTTTTATTGCTTATTTATTGCTTGTTATGTTTACTCGGGTGTTCAGTATGGGCAAAAACCAGTCACTTCGTATTGCAAGGAAACAGTTTCCGATTGTATTTGCTGGCGCGATTACAATTCACAAGTCGCAAGGTAACTTGTATTCTTGTAACTCGAAATATTGTTATTTTATGATCTTCGTTGATATATCAAAAATTTAATCTATACATGTGTTAGTACGATTTTTAGTTCTAGAACTGTTATTTCAGGCTCTTTCTCGATATAGCAAAATTTTGGTGTATACATGTATTAGTACGATTTTTTGTTCTACAACTGTTATTCTTCAATTATTAGTTGTTCAAGTTGTTTGGTTTTTGCTTCAGTTTCTATGCCTTCGGTGTATTGCGCGTAGCGCCTATGTTTTTAGTTGTGGTTTTGAAGTTTTTCGATTTTTTCTACTATTTGGCTTTCCTTTCATTGTCCGTCTGGTAATTTGCAATGCTATGTTTGTGAAGTTTTGCAGGTGATGGAAGCTCCGATTATCCTCTGTATTCAATTTTCAAATTAGACCAAACAAAAGGTTGAATAACCATTGAATCGAGCAGCCAATTCGTGCAATTCATGACAAATCATCGGACGCAAGGGAAAAAATGCGAGAGATAATTTTCACATTGATTTATACAAAAACAGCAGTAATACCAACAAAAACAAACTTCACGAACAATTTTTTGGGCAATTGTTTTCAACCGGATCAGTTTTTGTCAATTTTTGGCTGCTAATTTTTTTGAAAAAGGAAAGAAAAAAATTCTGTCTCCGGGCAAAAAAAATATATGCTATACTTGAATGCGTGTGCCCCGACACGTATCTTGCCATGTTAAAGCGTTTTTTGCTACAGATAAGGGCTTAACGTATCTATGCGTGGTTGAGCTATATCGTATATTGAAAAGCTCAAGATTTTTTTCGATTTTTCAGTTTGAATTTAGTGTTTGTTCCACCGAGTTGAAAATTAGCAACACAATGGTGGTATGCTGTCAGAGTTTCTCCAAAATTGGCGAATGTGGTCTCCAATTATGAATGCCCAATTCATTTCAGTGTACGAGATACGACGATTTTTGTGATTTTTTAATTTTTTTTGGAAAACTCAATTTTCAAAATTTGAAATTCCCAAACCTGTGTTTGGGTACTGTCAGAGTGTTCTCAAAGATTGCGAATCTTGCCTCTAAATATGAGTGCTCATATCCTTGTAGTTATCGAGATGACGTGTATTATGATTTCTTTTCAATTTTTCAGAAAACTTAGTTTTTAAAAAGCTTAAAAGATTTGAAATTCCTAATGTTGTAGTGGGGACTGTGAGGGTACTCTTAGGAGTCTTAAGATCCAAATCTTGCCTCTAAATGTGGCTGCTAGAATGCTCTTAGTTTTCGAGATATGACGTTTTGTGTGATTTTTCAAAAATTTTGCAGAAAACTTAAATTTAAATATTTTGTTCATTTTTTGAAATTTCCTGCACTCTATTTGGTGGATGTCAGAATACTATCTGGGCTTGCGAATCTCACTTCCAATTTTGATTGTTCAAATCTTAGTAGTTTACGAGATGTGGCGTTTTATTTTGTGATTTTAAAAAAGTTTTCATAAAACTTAAATTCATGATTTTTTTTTAAAATTTTGGATTTCCTATACCTTTAGTTGAAAGCTTTCAAAGAACTCCCGGGTTATGCAAATCGCGGCTCCAAATAAGACTGCTCAAAATATTTCAGTTTTCGAGATATGAATTTTTTTGTGATTTGATATTTTTTTTAGAAAACTTAAATTTTGAAATTCCCAACCCTTAAGTTGGGGTCTGTCAGACTACTCGAAGGGCTTGCGAATCTCGCCTCCACATATGACTGCTCACGTTTTTGTAATTTTCGAGACAAGACGGTTTTTTGTCTTTTCAATTTTTTTCCAAAGCTTGAAATTCCTAACCCTGTAGTTGGGTACTGTGAGAGTACTCTCAGGAGTTGCAAATTTTGCGTCCAAATGGGTCTGCTCAAATGCTTTTAGCTTCCAAGACGTGACGTTTTTATGTCATTTCAACATTTTTCCAAGAATTTAGATTTAGAAAACTTCACAATTTTTTTTCCTAATTTGAATTTAAAAAAAACTCATAGAAAAAATTTTAGCAAAATTCGAAGTTACGAACCGTGTAATTGGGTGCTGTCAGAAAGCACTCAAAGGTTGCAGATTTTTTTCCTTTATTTGTGGTTTTTCTAAGAGTTCTCAAAAACTCGAAGCACCGGAGGTGCGTTACACGCTAGTTAATTTTAATGAAAATAAATGAAACTCGTAGAAGAGAGACCATGGGACCAGCTCATCATCTGGCGTCTACCCCTGTTAGCTTATGTAAGCCTATGTTTTAGTATTCAAGTAATGAAGAAAAGGGCAAAAAAAGAATGTTTTCCAATTTTTCATCGAAATGAGATGGATTTTGCCAAACGTGTATCTGACTATATCAAGACTCGATCATGAGAGATAATCCGAGAGAAGATTATTCAGAAAAATATTCAGACTGACGTCTCAAACTAAATGTTTTGGAGCTCCTAATATTTTTCCAACAGATTTTGAACCTTTATTTTTTGGCGGCGAAATTTTGCGTACTTTTTAAAAATTTAATTAAGAAGAACTTTTTTCTCTGGTATAAAATTAACGTCCGCTAAATTAAAATAAAATTTATAAGTAATGCACCTGAGAGGACAGTTAACAAATCCATCACATGCTTTGCAACACTAATTTTGAATAAAGAAAATTGTGGATGAATTTTTATTGTAAAATTAATAAATTCCGACGTTATCAAATTATCTTAAGTTTTCAAATGAATTTACGAAAAACCCTAAGTAGGCCTCTCTTTTCTCGAGACTTTAATCAGTAACCTAATCTCACACAGATTCTTATTGGTCTGATGTTGTCAGGTAGGTCTGTTTTCGACTGTTAGTTTGCCCAAATGCGCAAAATCGCAAATTAGGATTTTAAAATTGAAAAAGCCAGTCGCTGGTTTTTCAAATAGCTCTAATATTTGGCCGTGTTTATGCGACTTGCTTATACTTTTATGCGCAATACTAGATGTAGTGCAATAAAAAAGTTTCAGTTAGCGAACAATGAGTTCTAAGTTGGTTAATGCTAAAGTCTTCATGGACATAGTGATTTCTGCAGCTAAAAAGGCACCCGTAAAAGGTCGCGTAGTAATGGAGTTATACGCCGACAAGGTGCCCAAAACAACGGAAAACTTCCGCGCACTCTGTACAGGTGAAAAAGGATTCGGCTACAAAGGAAGTCATTTTCACCGGATTATTCCAAAGTTTATGTGCCAAGGAGGAGATTTTACAGCCGGAAATGGAACTGGCGGGAAAAGTATATATGGGTCAAAATTTGAGGATGAAAACTTCGCGTGCAAGCATACTAAGGTGGGGATCCTCTCAATGGCAAATTCAGGTAACTACTACATATTGACTTAATTTTGCGATGAAGGGACCCCCTCGCCGTGGCAAGGGTAACCTTTTTGGTACTAGTTAACGACACCCATTTTTGGCCGAACAGCTCTATGATTTTAGTATGGCGCGTTTGGCGACGAATTATTGTACTTATTTTGAGGTAAACAATTATCCGGTCAAAGCTTTTTTCCAAAGTGTTATTGATGTCTCGCTTACTCCATCTTATTACTGACCAGTGAAATCTTTTAATCGATGCAAACTATAGTTCGAAGACCGATTACTGGTAATTTTATGTCAGAGGCTCAATATATTGAAATACCTTCAGTAGTTATGCATTCAGTTTTTCATCCAAACAATAATCATTTTCTGTTTCAACTGATCTAGGTCCCAACACGAACGGCAGCCAGTTCTTCATCACCACAGCTGTGACGTCATGGCTGGATGGGAGACACGTGGTGTTCGGAGAAGTGACCGAGGGCTACGATCACGTGCAGCTGATGGAGAGTGTGGGAAGCAGCACTGGTCAGCCAAGTTCCAAAGTGTTCATCGAAGACTGCGGAGAAGTGGGAAGCGGAAATAAAGAGTGAACGAAATACGTCGATTCTTGAATAAACGTGATTTGTGGAAGTTTTATCAAATACTTTAACGCATTTTTCTGTTTTTAAAGAAAAGAATTGTCAAACTGTTCTAACAAGTTTGAAACAAAATCAGTCTACTTAGGTGTATTTTTTTAATCGTTTTTTTAGAGGAAAATTATTTCGAAATATTGAAACTGCTCAATTGAAAAAGCTCCCACTTCCAAGTCTATCGTAACCTTATTCTTTCAAATGAGATGTTTGTACCCCGAGTATGTTGTTTGAATGCATTGAGTGCAATAACTGAATTTTACTTCTCTCTATCCCTGAATTTTTATAGCTTCTTGATCCTGTTCTGTCGGAGCACCATTCAAACTCCTGAGTTTAGGTTTATTTGTCATTTGTGACTTCAATCCCTGAACCAGAGGATTTTTCCTAGAAAAGTAATCTATATTGGACCATATTTGCATGATTAATATCGGAATCATTCATGCTCGAGCTGATTTTCCCCAATCCTAACTCTTGAAAATTTGGGAAACTAGCAAAAATTCTGTTTTCAGAGGCTATTTACAAGTTTACTTTAGTCTTGTAGTGTCAGCTGGTTTATTTGGATCTCTTGCTTGTGTTTTGGAATGGAATCAAGTTTCAATTCCTGTTAAGAGTTTACGGGGAGTTTTTGAAGTTTTCCCAAATTTTGAGATTTAGTTACAGGCATTTTTCCAAGATTTGCCTAGCTTCTCTCAGAAAACAAAGGTAGAGTCGCCTCACTTCTGTAAACTGTTTATTAGTGCTGGCTTTAAACCGTCAAGAAAAGTCGCACTGCTCTGAATTTCTGGCAAAGGTCTTGAATCAAAGGGCCCCAAGCTATAACAAAGCTAAACTTGGTAAATTAAACTCCGAATACGTAAATGTAAGCAACCTCGTGCCCGCTGGAACTCTAATTTTAACAGGATATTTACATTTACAGCCGCGAAAACATAAATTCCTACAAAGTCTGAGCTCGGAGAAGGAATTTCGAAGGAATTTATTTTGAATATTTGACCTTTTGGTACGCCACTAACTAATGGTTAAACATTTCTCAAATCCTTGTTATCAGTTTCGCAGGTTTCGGGCACTGAAACGTTGAAGCAAAGTGGGCTCAAAACGTTGACCCGGTTTGAATCTTTGTGAGCAGATATATGTGGAAAATTCTGTCTGAGACTCCGCGTAGATTACATGCTGTGTGTTAGGCGAAGCAGTAAATGTGTACACTAAGCGTGTTATCGGAACCTATAAAATCACTTTCCTATTAAAGTTCCCTAAAATAGTTTGATCCTTTTCAACTCTAATTTCCCCCAAACTTATATCCGTCCCCTGAAATTTCTAACCTCGGTTTAAACTTTTGTCCGTTGGTTTACATCTTACAGCCCCATATAATCTGATCCCACATCCGTAAGGGAGATTTCTCCCCTCCAACAAATTCGCCCCTGGGGCTGTGGAGTAGCTTGTACATACATACATACAAAAAAGCTAATTGCTGTAAATAAGGTGAGTCTTCAAAGTTAACTTTCGAACATTTTTTCTCAATTATATATTTTTTCCTGATTTCACATTTCCGGCATCAAAATATTAGGTTTTTTTTAGCTAAATCACTTTTTTCCTTAGAAAAACTGCCGCATAAGTAAATTCATGTGATCCCTTGAGAACTAATATGACATCGAAATCCAATTTTGGCTAATTGTTCCTAAAATTTTTCTAGAGCCTTTTGACGCTTTAATGTTAAGGGAAGATTTGCGCCGTTTTATTGCACTTTTCAAATTAAAACCTCTTACCTTTACTGTATCTTAAATATATTCGTTTTATTAATGCAGTAGAGAATCAGCAACATGAGTTTCCAAATGAACGGCTCTCAACACCATTTCGACGGAGGCGTAGGCGGAGCTCATCAAAAGCAGTCGGCCGGAGGATTGCCGTCGGAACATCCCGTGTTCAGTCAGCCGATCGTGAACGGAGACCAGTGCATCGGAGGCACCATCAACATCGATTTCCAGGTTTGAATAATGTTTACCCTTGCGATTAGCAAGCGTTATCAAACTGGAATACAGACTTTTTTCGGTTAGCGAATTGTTTAACAGAATCACTTGTATATTGGTTCATAATGAAATCAAACTTCTATGTTTTCCCGTCCAGCTTAACATGGAAGCAACGAATATATCTGCGATGTTAAAGGTCCTGTTTTCGAATCTGACCAGGACTTGTTTTTTTTCTAACGGGAAATATTGTGTTTCAAATAAAACTGTCGGTCAATTATTTGTCTGCTTATCTGTTGTCGGCTTAGTTGTCACATCTTGAAATTGTTTTTGTTTTGCTGCGCGCATTTTTCTCTGGTGTTTTTTTAGGTGTTTGATTTACTCCTACAACTTGTAATTTTACTTATCTTGACTTCGTTTTCGCCAAAATATTTTGGGCCTATTTTTTATCGGCTTATTGGCCTAATTTTGGGTGGTTTCAAGGGAAACACAACTCGAACACTCCCCTCCACACTTTTCATGTTGGTTGTATGTTTACAAATTGGTTTGTTAAAATTCTTTTCCTTAATGAAAACTATTTCCAATTTCATTGGAAAATGTTTTAGTTTTTCTCAAAAACTTCAATAGATTTTTAAATAGATTACTCCCTTGTGTGCCTGTATACTCCCCTAGAGTCTCTTTATTTGACTCCTCTGTCTACAGCTTTCGAAAAAGTCTGTGGGATAATATTTGACCCATGTTTTTGATTTTTTTTTCGTTTTCTCGAAAAATATCACTCTCAAGTCTGAGTTTTTGATTTCAAAGAATAGAACGTTTTCGAAAATCTCCCTGTCATGGCCTTGGAAAAGTTAAGGTTTTGATTTTTTGGCCGTTATTTATAAAGTTTTTGACCTTTCTCGAGAACTACCCTCCCAAATCTGCTTTTTGTAAAAAAAGTTATGGTTTTTGAAATCCTGTTGACCTTTTTCTATAAAGTTTGACTGTTTTTATGAAATTTTTGAGTTTTCCTAAAATTAAAACAATCAAATATGATATAAAAAGTTCAATTGAAAGAACTGGTTTCGATAAAGGTTCCTGTAGAAGCAGTGATTCTACTCCTTAATTATTTGTTAGATAAAATTGTGCAATTTTTTGTCAGAGAAAATAGTCAATATTATCTTCTTGAGAATATTGATCATCTCAATCTTTTTAAAACTCTTTTTACTTGATTTAGTAGAGAAACAACTGAGGTTTTGGGCAAAGCCCAATTTTTGAAATAACATTTTTGTACTGCACGAGTATAGCGAATTCATTTAATATCAAACACATACCTCCAGCTTTAGCTGGCCTCCAGTTGTTTTTATCTAGACATACGCAAAGTTTGGTTCACCTAGTTCTTTTTCAACGTTTAAATTTTTTTTCGACTTCGATTTTTTTTGTTTGTGTTGTATCGCAAGTGGTGCTAAGCTCCGCTTCGCCTCTGTCAAATTATCTAATCTTTGGGAAATGGCCTTCAGCCTTAATCTCTGTTTTCCTCGCTAATAGAGGCCAGCCATTTCGATCACAGTTTGCAAGACCATTTCCGAATTAACCAGTTGCTTTCGTTCTACGTAATCTGAAAAGTTTAACAGAGTATTCTAGAAATTGCATGAACTAAAACCAGCAATTACGCAAATATTCTGATGATTTTTTCCGAGTGCAGGTCAAAGGCTATCCTGATCCCCAACTCCAGTGGTTCAAGAACAACCAGCTGCTCAACTTGGGCGGCAGGATCAATTTGTTCGGGGGACTTGACGGATGGTACACCCTTCAGATCAAAGAGTTGTGCCTCGAGGACCAGGGCGAGTACACGTTCATAGCTGAGAATGAATTCGGAGAAGCGACCTGTGTCGTCAATCTTCAAGACGTCGGCATCAGCAGTCCGAACGGAAATCTTGGTGACCCGAACAGCTTCTCGCCGGCCAGCATTGGGCCTCCGACAGCAAGAAGTAGCATGATCAACAGCACTGCGGTTCCCACAAATCCCGGCTGGCACAATGATCTCTCGGGAGTGCGAGTGTCGCGGATTGCAGAGGGACCGGACAACAGTCACGTGCCAATGTGTCGGTAAGTTCTTCGGAATACATAAAATGTATGTAAGATTAGTAACTACAAGGAGATATAATATTAACTGACACAGGTTTAATTTTGGCGCCTTAAATTATGCTTGTTTTTTTTCCGCGAGGAGTGCAAATATGGGTTACTGTCATATCAAAAGCTCTGAAAATTTGTTTATTGTAATGAAGCGATAGTATATTTTGTGATTGAGCCTTAGAGTAAAATTATGCGTGAAAATTCAGGTCTCTGAGACTTTGCGCCGACTAGTGTACCATGCTTGGCATCCTTCACAACTAAAACCAGGGGCTAATTTTCGCGTTACGATATCTGCTGTTTTTGTGACCCGATTCAAATCAGATAAACTATTTTGCGTAATTTTCTTGTGCCCTAAGTCAAACTAAATTTATTTTAGACGAGACCACATTGCTCCCTACGCAGTTCCAGGTCTCGGAAGAAACCCAGAAACTGCGGAGGAAAGCGACAAACCCTACCAGCCACCTGTGTTCTACGGGCAACCGATGGTCCGAGGTGATCTGAAAGAGGGCGGTAAAATTGTCATCGACATCAAACTAGCGGCACATCCTGAACCCCGAATTCACTGGTTCAAAAATGGGCGACCCGGAGTCTTTAGCGAGCGAATCCGACTTGAGCGCGGAATGCACGACACGTATAAACTCGTGATCAAAGACCTCCGAACAGATGACGAGGGTGAATACTGTTTCATAGCCGAGAACTACCTGGGACGAAACGCCAGAACGATTTACATTGGCAACATCGAGGTGCCTGGTAAACCGAGCAGAGGCGAGCCCCAAGTTATTCTGGTTCCTCAGAAAGACCCTCCGATGCTCACGAACCCGCGCGTAATCGGCGAAGTGAAGCCCGGAAACGAAGTTAACGTCGAGTTTGAAATATACTCAGAAGAGAAACCGAACGTGAAACTGTTCCATGACGGACTCCTCATTAACCTTCAGGGACCGAGGATTTTCCTGAGACCAGAACCTAACAGCAAGTATGTGATCACGTTCCGAGACATGAATGCGGGCGATGAAGGTGGATACAAAATCACGGCGGAAAACTCGAACGGAACCAACTACACTACGTTCAATTTGACAGGTCTGAAAGAACCGCCAAAGCCCAAAGCTCCTGCGAGACCTTGGAGATCAGTGTCACCGCCTAGGGCTCCTACACCACCTAATGAGTCGCAAATAATTATGAGAAACATCAACATCGAAGCTGCTGATCCCCCGATAGCTCCAAAATTCAGTGAACCGGTAATCACCGGGGATATGTTTATCGGAGGAAACATGCACATCGATTTCACACTCACGGGGAGACCCGAGCCGACCATCAAGTGGTACAAAAACGGACAAGAGATCTTTTTGGGACATCGGCTTCAGTTGGACAGGAAAATGGGAAATAATTACTCACTAGTTCTGCCCAACATACAAGTCACCGATGAAGGCGAGTATGAGTTCTTTGCTGAGAACGCTGTCGGAGAAGCAGTTTGCGTGCTCCAGCTGACGCCTCTACCGAGACCTCCGTCGCCCGAATATGTCCCACCAGTGAGTCACGTAACTGTGAAGGAGTCGACTTCGTTCAGACGACACCAGGAACCGCCGAAGTTCTCCAAACCCGAAGTGACCGGTGACATGATTGTGGGAGGAACAGTCAATGTGTTCTTTTACATTCGAGGCACCCCAGCACCTGACGTAATGTTCTACAAAGACGGACTTCCGATGAATTTCAATTCTCGAGTGTCAATCACGAAAGGACATGACGAGTCTTACACTCTGACCATTCGTGGCATTCGATACGATGACGAAGCCGAGTACATGATCAAAGCGTCGAACCCCGTGGGAGAAGCCAAGTGCACAATCACACTCACAATCGAAAGAGCACCAAGAAGTGCTTATCCGTTCTATGACATGGTTCCACCGAAGTTCTCGGAACCGATCAAGACCCGATTTGAGGGTGATATCGCGTACCTGGAAGGATACGTGACAGGCAGCCCGAAACCTACGATCTCGTGGTGGAAAGACGGGCTAGAAATTCGACCCGATCATAACTTCACGTACAACACTTCATACGACGGAAGGATATCGCTGAGAATCAATAACATCCACGAAATCAGAGACGGAGAAATAGTCTGCAAAGCGGTCAACAACGCGGGTGTTGCTTCTTGTTCGGTTCATTTCCAGAGTCAAGCATACAGGTTTGGAGAGCCGCCGACGTTCGCTCAACCCATAATTCCGACTATTGACGGAAACACTGCTGTGCTGGATTGTATTGTCAGTGGAAACCCTCTGCCAAACATCCTCTGGTATAAAGATGGACATTTGATCCATCACGGAGGCAGCTTTGAAATCTACACCAGTGCTGACGGATCTTCAAGTTTGATCATCCACAATTTCAAGAATCTAGGACCTGCTGAGTACGTATGTAGAGCGACTTCTGTTGCCGGTGAGATCTCTTGCAGTTTGAAGTTAATCATTGAGAGACGAAGTGTGTCGGCTTCACCGAGCCGGAGTCACTCGCCGAATGCCAGTTCAATTCATCGACGAAGTCCGTTCTACTACTCTCCATCCAGTGAGACGAACTTTCACCGCGTGCCTCCGAAGTTTGTCAAGCAAGTAACACCTCACGTGGAAGGGAAGTTCGCGAGGTTCACCTGCAAAGTTAACGGACAACCGCGTCCGTCTGTTAAGTGGTTCCGAAACAAGGTTCCAATTAATCCTGGAAATGACTTCGGACTTCAAGAAGAACCAGATGGAACGTGCACCTTGATAGTCTACGATGTTGACAGGTTCGGAAATTGCGAGTACCAGTGTCTGGCTGAAAATGAAGCCGGAATTGCGACTTCGACCATCGAATTTGTGACCAATACTGGAAAGCCTCCGAAGATTGTTAAGCAGCTGACTCCTGTGATTGATGGAAATACTGGAAAGTTTACATGCACCATCTCCGGCGATCCTTACCCGGATGTTGTCTGGCTACGAAATGGCGAGGAGATCAGATCTGGCGGTGATTTTGTGATTCACAATGGACGAAATGGTGAATTCTCTCTGACAATTTACAACGTCACCGACCATGGAAATGCGGAGTATACTTGCAGAGCAACAAATGCATCCGGAACTTCATCGACAACGGTTGAACTTGTTTTGCAGCGAATCACGAAACCTGGTAATCCTCCGAAGTTCATTCAGACCATGAAGCCTTCAATTGACGGCGTCACTGCTAAGTTCGAATGCGTGATTGACGGAAAACCACGCCCAGAAGTTTCATGGCTGAAAAATGGAGTGGAAATATTCAACGGTGGCAACTACAGTATCGTGCACGGGGTTGACGGCTACTGTTGTCTGTCGATCTACGACATCTACGAGTGTGGACCGAAGACCGAGTTTGTCTGCAAGGCAATCAACCCCTCGGGAATCACCTCTTGCTGTGTCACTCTTGTGCTAGAAGGTAAGATTCCTTTGTTTTGCCAGAATGATTCTTCGTTTCTTTGTTGATTAATTGGCTTTGTTTGTTCAACTTTTTGTTTGTCCCAATTTGAGTTCAATAGTGAGTTTTCTTTTGCGCTGTTTGCTTAGATAACAAAATCTAGAAAACCATGAATTTTTGTCGAACTGAAATAATTTTCATTTCGATCATTAGAAAATTATTATGCAGCTTAAAAATAATTTATGTGATCTTAAATCTTTGCATCATTTTGTTTTTTGAGTAATCGCAACATCTCATTTCCACTGCCTGAACTGACTTATTGTGCAAGGATCTCTCTCTCCTATACAACCATTCAAAGAAAAAAGATTGTACAATAATCCAATGAGTTGAAAACTGCCCATTTGATTGCTTTTAACCTGACTGGATTGAACTAATTGTGTGGTCACAGGAAGCAAGAGCCATCAAACTAGTTTTTTCTCTTAAAATCAGTTCTGGATTCGAGACCAGTGGAATTGAGATGATACTGTGAAATAGTAAAGATGTGCGCCCTCAAACGAGCGGACAAAAATAGAGTTAACTTTGAGTTTCTGTTTAGAGTCCGTGAGGTTTGAGGGCGCCCATCTTTACTGAGAGCAATTCAGTCAGTTCTGAACTAAACTGAAGTGAAATGGAAGCGGAAATGAGTTGAAATTATTCGGACCTTAAACTGAATTGAACTGGCCTTAAGTCAAACTGACTTGAACTTAGTTTGGGCCAATCACAAGTTACTCAGCACAAAAAAAACTTAAACTGAAACTCAACCAATTCTATTTCTCAATTTTTTATTTCTGAGTTTTTTCAACAATCTATTCTGGAAAAGCATGGAAATAGTTTTTTTTTAGTTTAAAATATCTGATATTACCAAGGACGGAGCAGATTGTTGAAAAATATTTGTTTGAATTTGATTCAAAATAATTTCGTTGAAGCATGCTAGTAATTCGTATAATTTTGTACTGCATTCAAGCCAATTAATTGTTTTCTAACGCGTTTTTTATTCAGTTCAATCAATCGTCTCAAAAAGAAGATTTTGGTTTTGAAAACAATAGTATATAAACTCATGTTGTCATAGCTAATCTCCGTTTTTCGACCAATTTGAGTAAAAAAATAAACTTCCGAACTAAAAATGATCAAGACAACAAAACTTGCTTAGTATTTTAGCAAAAATAATATGGTGCCATTTATTGAGCCAAAACTACCGGATCAAATGCTGACAAACTGACAAAGCTATATCAATGTAAGCCTCTTATGTAGCGCAACAAAATTTTGAAGGTTATACTCTCCAAAAGTTTGTCTCAAATTAAAAATTGGGGATTGATATGGTAAAAACGGCATTTTTTTTTTACTATCAATCAAAATATTTTTATACACAATTAGAAAGATTTAGCGTTGCTTAATATTTGTAAACTACGTAAGAAACTCATTTTGATATAGTTTTGACAGCAATTGAACTGGTAGTTCTGGCGTAATTTTTGGTTGACTGACAAGCCCGAAATATCAATAAATGGGTCGCTTTTTCTTGGATCTTCTGATAACTCATGCTCACAGTTCAGCTACTAGACTCATCTATTACCTTAAGAATCTTTTCCCACCTTAACAACTTGTTTAAAGTTGCAAATGACACAGCAGTGAGTATTTAAAGCTTTTGCAGTGCAAAACCTTTTGCGATAAAGTGGCTCATATAAAAGAATTTAGAACAATGAGCATGTTTTTAACCAGAAAAATTTTGGCTAACTCGGTTCATAAACTTAAGTTGGTTTGGACTCACCATATAATTTGTTTTCGGTTTAATTGTTTGCCAGCTTGCTGCAATTTTTTGGTACATACCTGTAGTGGTAACTAAATGTTTGATCCCTCCATCTAAGAAATTACTTCAGATTTTATTCTGGAGATTTTTCTGAGAATTGAGAATTTATTCTTCTTCTTTTTGGCTTCTGGCTATCAGTCTCAGTTTTAACCCTGTTTTTCTGCGAGTATGTTGATTAGCACTATCGGGGTAACTAAAACTGAAATATAATCATTGCTCCAAGAAAAAAATTTTTAATGCTTTTTGCTGAATTCTTCGTTAATTGTTACGGTTTTCGCTTCATTCCGACTTATAATAGTTTTCAACAATCGTCCAAACACGCAGCATACTGGTTGCTGTTTTTTTTACTGTATCAAAAACCCAATGCAATCGACAAAAAAAAACAATCCGTTTTTTAAATGTCAATGAACATAGTGAAGACTCTGAAATAGATCCTGTTAATTTTTTTCAGGAAAGTCTGAAATTTTGTTCACTCTCAAATGTCATTTTTTGCCGTCTGACTTCTGATTTTTTTTAATTTCTGGACTTTTTTCCATTTTCCCACCCCTTCTCAACATAAAAAAAAGAGAACTGTCCAAAAATTGTCACACGGCATTTTGGATGTGAGAAATAGTGTAGAAATTTGTTCACGCTGACACGTTTTATTTCAATTTATTTTATTGAAAGTCATTTTAAATTGACTTTTGCATGATGAATTTCAGAAAATTTCAATGGGGGAATTGAAAAAGAAGCAAGTTCTGTTCATTTACTTTGTTAAAAGAAAGGTAAACTCTACTTCGTCAAAACTGTGGAGGTCGCAAAAAATGTGATCGACTTCTAATTCCGAAAGAGGAATATAGCTTCAGATTTCTCTGCGGAATTAACAATTTACCTATTGGTTCAATTTCTCAAATATGGTTAATTATCAAAAAAAATACTCATCATGAATTGTTTTTGAAATTCAAAGAGCTCTAAGGGCGTTTATTTTCTTTTTTTGTTGTTTTCTTGCGTTCATGACTCTTTTCCATTTGTCTGGTGGCCATGTTTTCAGTTTCCTGTTAATCGGGTCTGTTCAGATTGTTTCATTGTTTGTTTCTTAAAAAGCACTCGGTTCGTTTTTTATTGCTCTACTGTTTTTTTTTGTCTGATAAAAGTTCAAGTTGATTGATTTTAATTTTTAATATTAAGCGAGGTTGATGATCAATAGTCATCAGTGGAGTTTTTTGGTATCATTTTGGTCATTTTTTTGCCTTTTTATTCCTGTCGAAATATGACTGCTTAATCTTACTGTTTCGAAGTTTTGAAAATCGCTATTTGTTTCGGCAGAGTAATTAGCTAAAGCTTCGAAATGACACTGAAATGCCGCATGCTCATTGAAACCTGTTTTTTGAAGTTACTTGGTATTTATTGATTTGAGAAATGGATATCGGAGAATTTAAAGACTGCTTTTCCCTTGCACAGATGGCATTGTTTCATGTTCCGGTGTGACTGAGAAGTATAAATAAAATATTCGTTGATGCTTTTTTTAACTCATAATGTATATATTAAAGGATTTTGATGATATCGCTGTCAAGGCTTTATATGTAGTGGACTACGCGATCGTAAGCAAGACAGAGGCTCAAGTTGGCGTGAGTTAAAATCCCGCAGGTTTTTGAGTTTTTGCCTGATATGGTTTGTTTCCAGTTTCGAACTGTCCCTTGGATTATTCTGAAAATCAACCATCTAAAAGCTAGTTAAATTGACTTTACTTTTGAAAAATTTCAGTATGAACAAAATCGAACAACTTCTTTTGCATCAAATTTCGCTAGTGATTTTTTTAGACTTCTTAATTTTGTAAACATTAACGTATTTAGTGCGGGGACGCGCGCTCTCCTCAGGAACTCGACCTCCTGACGACCCAGATAGCCCCCGCTAGTACAATTTTAAAACATAATTTTTTGGCACCGACCTGAATGTTTCTAAATGAAAGCTCGGAAGATTAATTTGGTCGGCCTAAAAAAATTTTTAATTTACTTTTTGAAATTCCGCACCCCACCCCCTCCTCGAAAAAATCCTATCCCCTGATTGTAGTTTAAGATCGGACGCTAAGAAAATTGAAAAGAGCTCATTTTGTAATTTCAACAAACCCAGCATGCTTTTCCTTAATCCCGCTACTATTGGGTTTTCTGCTCTTGTATACAAAAGACAATATTGCAACATTTTAGGAGCAACATTCCAGACGCAAAAAAAGTGTTTCGTTTAAAAAGTTTTTGCTTAGCCTTAAAATTACCTTCGAAGAAAGTGAGCAATGTATATGCTCTGGGTGATTTTTTTAAAATACTTAGAAAGTTTGGGAATCGTGTGGATTGCTCCGGGAATTGTGGATTACCAAGCGAGTTTGCTTGCCACCAACTTAATTGCGTTAGGATTTGCTCGATTAAAAGTTAATTGTTCCATTGCGCATAGATTTTATGCGTGGCGAATCATCCCGCACTCCAAATTGAATTGTGGTGAATTGTTCCAAATTGAATTGACGCAAAATAATTGGTGATATTAATCGGACTCAAATTTTAGCACTTTATTTCGGATATTGGCAGGCCAAGATTTACAGTTTATCAAAAATTCTTATAACAAAAAAAACAAGACTGCTCGTATCAGGGCGAAGCCCTGAATGTTCCGACTGCCTTTTAAGGTTTATGGAGCAGCAGTAAAAGCATAAAAAAATTAAATGAAATAAAATAAAATGAAAATTTTTTCCAATATTTGAAATTTTTTGTGAAAATCATCCCCCCACATGCCATATAAAGTACAAAAAGAGAGATTTCGTTCCTTGTAACAAATCAATTATGGCAAATAAGCTTCGTTCAACCAATTTGGAACGATTTATAAGAGGGATTAAATCTCCGCTTACGCGTTAATAGCCCGAATTATATCGCGCGTTAATTGTCCTAAATTGGTCAAAATGGCATTCTTTAAACCCTCATAACTCTACGAAAAATGATCACAGGTAAAATATCTTTTCAAATTTAAGCTCAGGACAACAATACTTTTTGAATGATATAAAAAAATTCCGTCAAAAATGGCTAGTTAAAAAGTCGAAATTTGTCTGAAGAAAAAAAAAAACCCACCCCGAGCACAAATATTCCGTTACTTTCGTATCGAAAGTCGGAACAACAAGACTGCTCGTATCAGGGCGAAGCCTTGAATGTTCCGACTGCTTTTGAAGGTTTATGGAGCAGCAGTAATAACATAAAAACATTATATGAAATAAAATAAAATGAAATTTTTTTTTCTAAAATTTGAAATTTTTTATGAAAATCATCCCCCCACACGCCATATAACGTACAAAAAGGTAGTTTTCATTCCTTGTAACACATCAATTATGGCAAATAAGCTTCGTTCAACCAATTTGGAACGATTTATATGACGGATTAAATCTCCGCTTACGCGTTAATAGCGCGAATTATATCGCGCGGTAATTGTCCCAAATTGGTCAAAATGGCCAAAAGGGCAATCTTTAAACCCTCATAACTTTACGAAAAATGATCACAGGTGAAATATCTTTTCAAATTTAAGCTCAGGACAATATTACCTTTTGAATGATATAAAACAATTCCGTCAAAAATGGCTAGTTAAAAAGTCGAAATTTGTCAGAAGAAAAAAAAACCCACCCCGAGCACAAATATTCCGTTACTTTCGTATCGAAAGTCGGAACAATTATTCGGGAGCTGTTAAGGGGTAGTCGGAACAGTCAGGTCTTGTTTCTGCATTTATTATGATTCTTGACTAGTCTGTGTACAAGAACCAGTCATTCATTTTTTTCGAGCTTTCAATTTTGAAAGCTCGTAAGGGGCTTAAGTGTGTTGCCATATTAAAGACTTATTGCTTGCAGTTGTGATCTTTGAAAAAAATAGTAAAAAGTTGTCTCAGTGTCGAGAAGACTTCATCATTATTTTAAAGTAAATTGTGGAGGTCGCAAAAAATGTGATCGACTTCTAATTCCGAAAGAGGAATATAGCCTCAGATTTCTCTGCGGAATTAACAATTTACCTATTGGTTCAATTTCTCAAATATGGTTAATTATCAAAAAAAAATACTCATCATGAATTGTTTTTAAAATTCAAAGAGCTCTAAGGGCGTTTATTTTCTTTTTTTGTTGTTTTCTTGCGTTCATGACTCTTTTCCATTTGTCTGGTGGCCATGTTTTCAGTTTCCTGTTAATCGGG